GATAGGCTCACATAAGAAAAGTCCTTTTCTAATTCAAGTAATGGCTCCAACTCATATAACAGTGTCACTGCTGGTTCTGATTCTCCTATTTGATCTAAGCTGCTATAGTCCTGTATCAGTACATAAAACCAGAGAAAAATAATCTGTCATCTGACACTTTAAAGCCATGTTTAGCCTTAGATGCCCACTAAAAGAGAATTGCATAGTTACGTAGAGTCCACAAAGCATTATCAGGTACTCAACATGCACATATTAGGGGAGCACACTCGGTAACACCTTAGTCAGTGGCTCTATCCACCATGTCTGTTAATAAATAGTTACCACTTACTAGAATGGACCGCAACTTATTATCATGAAATAAATGGTTTTAATGGTTTTTATCTTTTACAATAAATTCAGTTATCACTAAAATCTTGAAATTGTGTAAATAACTGGTAATTTATAGTGCATACATACATGGCATGATCAAATGTTAGACTCAGTCTATCAGCGTCCCATCAGGAGGCATTAATGGATAATTTCATTTTCAAAATTTGCAAACATGTAATCTCAAAGTGGTCATTGAAAGGCATGCATGAGTTGCACAACTGCTGATCCAACCAGCAATATACTGTATGTGCAAATGACTGTACTGAAAGAGCAAATGCATTCAAATGTAGAACTGCTGGATTACAGACCCACACATTATCTATTTGACTGGTTTATTGACAGACATGGTGGGCAGAGCCACTGAATAAAGGTTTTTTTAAAGCCCTGGTTCCGAACATGTAGCCCAAGGGCAGCATGGGACCCTTTGGTGTAGGATGTGCAGCCCGCGGACCTCAGCAGCCTGTAGTAGAAGCAATGAGTAGGGTAATGGTATTGATTTCTACTAGCCTCATGTAACATGTTCTTGGATTCGTATTTTCTTCTGCAGCATATCTCCAGCCACAAATGTAGTATGTCCACAATCTCTGACCCCCATTTCCTCTATTAGGGCTGCAGTTTTTGACAGTCTGCTTAAACATTACATATATTGAATGTTATGTATGGCCCTTTGATGATGTCAGGGGCTGTATTTAAAGTCCTCTTTAGCACATAAATTGACAACTACTGTTTTAAAGTAAGAGTTTTAAGTGGGCCATAGATGACTCATTTCTTTTTCGATCAGCCAACAGGTTCATCAAAAAATGAACAGATCCCTCCATCCACACAAACAAGCTGGATAGAGGAATCCTCCCAACTGGAACATTGGGGTTGATTTACTAAAGGCAAGTACACTTTGCACCTTGCAAAGTGCGGATGTGCAAGTGCAGTTGCTCCAGAGCTTAGTAAAAAAGGTAAAGATTCACTTTGCAAAGAATATCCAATCATGTGCGAAGAAAATTAAAAAAAACAGCATTTTTTCTTGCACATGATTGGATGATGGAAGTCAACAGAGCTTCTGCTCATTTAATAAGCTCTGAAGCAACTGCTCTTGCAGAGTGCACAGTCTATTTGCCTTTAGTAAATCAACCCCATCATGTTCTGACAGTGTGCTCCTCTGCTGATAGAACACACTGATCAGTGGCTGCAGCTGATTGGTTGCAGCTGCTAATCGAGAAAACTTTTCCAACATTCCCGATCAACTTCAGTCCAATGGGGATGTCCATACATGAATCGAAATTTGACCGGTCCCCAATGAACTGGTCACATTTTGATCCATCTATAGCCAGCTTTAGTTACATACAGTGTCAAACTTACATTTTCAGTGCAACTATGAATACTTTTACATATATACTGCATACCTGCAACTGAAGCTTCTCCACATAAGGTCACTTTGTGTTTTAGGTTTACTGGTCCATTAACCGATATTCTAAAGCTATTTACCACTTAAAAATGTAATCTTACAAAATACTCATTATCTGGATCAAGTCAAGGAACCAATAAACATGCTCTTTACAAATGTTTTCAGGCACCATAAGTAACATGGTAAATCAGCTAGTTGATATTCCCAGCAAATTCTAATTAGACACTGACATGGTCTCCTATATGGTTGTCCAACACATAAAATGCATTTCAATCTTAGCTGCATTATGCAAATAAATAACAAAGCACATGTGTGCCTTTAGATATACAATGGATAATCTCCCACTTCCTGGCACATAGGCCAAGTAGCAATTATACAGGGTAGGTACTGTATACACTGAAAACAGACATGTCCTTAAACATTTCATTATAACCATACAGAAAACCAAAAGCATTGATGCTAGATTAGCACCTGAAAGTTATAGTGATAGATTCAACACATACTCTAAATTGTATTCTTTTTAAAAGAAAGTTACCCTTTTACAGTACAAACAGGCTTTCCCTGTCCCACAGTTACAAAAATAATCCCAAGTGCAATAAAAGCATTATCTGTAAATAACTGGGTGTCGTAAAATATTGGCATGTGAAAGCCTTTGTGTTCAATCCTGGATCATGGACCTTAAATGAGCTTAGTATAGGTGGGTCAGTAAAAATACTATGTTTCTGTTCCATGCCCAAGCCATTCTGAAAAGCAGTCTTTCATGAGCAATGTTTTCTTTTTCCCAAAGAAGGCTGATTTGGCCTTCAAATATATAAGAAGTCTTTAACTCCTGAAAAAAAACAGTGATGAATCTGCATTGCCATTGCACAGACACCAACTTATATATAGACAGCTCTGTACTCAAGTATTTCCACAGTAACAAGACCACAGAAACCGAAGAGTCAAGTCCAAGTTTTAAAAATCTGATCAGATTATTGTTTCAAAAGTACCCGTTTCATTCATGGGAAGGCAGAAAAGTGGTGCGTGTGGCATTGCAAATTTGGAGACTAATTCCACTATCGGTGTGTGACCTCTATTAACACACAACCTCTGGATGAATTTCCTTCAGAGCTGTAAACTGGTTCCTCACACTTTTCAGGTCAGTCTCTATGGTTTCCCTGCATGGACAGTGCACAGCATATGAAGCCAGCAACATAATTTTTTCTGTTGACTCAGGGGTCTCCACTTGACTTTCGTTTGGCTCAAAAGTTTTGTCTTTTTGTGACTCTGGTTCTTGACATGACATCAGCCAAGCATGTTTAAGACACTGGTCAGCACGCGCTCTCTTTCTGTGGAGAGAGGGGATTACAGAAGGTAATTCAAAAGGTAATTCTGCACCAACTCTGGACATGGTATTTCAACAGGTATGGAAATAAAACTACAATTTATCCATCTACTTAACATATGGTTGCATTTCTGCCTGATGCCTTAACTTGAAGATGTCACGTGTTGTACTTCTTAGACCACAAATTTTAGTTCTTTGGATTTGGTGGTGGACACCAACATGGTACACTACCCACTGCCTATATCTCTCCTGTACAACAGCAGCAAGATATTTCCTCTGCAATCAAACTAACCTTCACCCCTTAAGTCCAATAAGACAGAAAGGTCCTCACCTCTGAGTTCTCCCTAAAAGTAGAAGAGAATGAAGTATGTGGATTCTAATTAAGATTAGAGCTGTACAAGTCAACAATAGCCATGATGTAAATTAAACTTCAGCAAGGAAATCTTTTCATTGGATCACTAAACAGATATACTTAGCTGAAGTCATATGAAAGACTTTGGTGTCCATAATTTATAACACGTTTTTTTTCTGGTATGGCGACAGGTTATCAACAAATGCAACACTGCCTGATCCTCGTCAGCAGATGATCCAAGCTAAGTGCAGAACATAAAGAAAATCTCTAGAGCCTGAGTGTGCCTTCACAACAGAACTAATATCTTTTAACTCAGAAAGCACTTTATCAAACGGGTCAGTCCACCCAAAACTGAAACTTTAGTATTTGGCAGATGCTGGAGCGCTATACCACCCGAAAACCTTTTATAGCTCTAGGGAACTCTCTACAGCACATATGTCAAATACATGGTCTGCAGGCTAAATCCAGTATTTGAGCCCTTGTCACGTGGTCCTCGCACCCATTTTTGCAGATAGAACATGGAGGAACACCATTCTGCCACCTCCGGCTCTCACCCTCAGCTCCCCGCTGTCATTTGTAAACACAGAAGCCTTCTGTGTTTACAAGGGACAGGTTTGCTCTCAGCAGCTCCCAGAACTAACAGATCCCTGCAATGCACTCACAGCAGGGACAGATCTCAAGAATCTGAGAGAGAGAACAATCTCCCTGCAAGGTGAAGTAAAGCTACCTACACAGGGAGTTACTAGAGCCAGACAAGGTAGGAGAGAGAGATGAAAAGAAGCTTTCGGGGGAGTTTGAGGTTGCATACTGTGCATAGTGCACTCCTAAACTTTGCAGTCTATACATAATGCACACTTGAACCATGCACTCTGTTTACAGCATACTCCTGAAATCTGCACTCTGTACGTAGCATAATCCTGAGCTCTGCACTCTGTACATAATGCACTCCTGAACCCTGCACACTGTGCGTAGTGCACCCACATAAAAACTGGCCCTTTGACGGCAACCATACTATTGATACGGCCAATAATGAAATTGAGTTTGACACCCCTGCTCTCCAGTCAAGTTTTGGGTTTGCACACCAGCTGTGGTCATTCTAAGCAGGTTCCACTCCACACTAGATTATCTTTTATCTTAAGATATGCAGAATGCACCAGGATGTGTAGGAACATGCAAAGTTGGAAGGGAAAACCCAAAACATTAAGGTAAACAGGAATGGAGTTGGAAATAATGGAACAGAGAGCTCCCTGTTGGAGTACCCAATAAATATGAGAAGCCTAAGGCTGACTCATTTATTTGCTGATGAGTACAATGCTACTTTGCAGGGTGCATCCATTATACTGGTGCAACAAAGCAATGTGTTTTCAGAAGAGGCAGCACAGCAAAGCTGTGTGATTGCAGATTCTGTCTCTAACCGAAGGTTTGCAAGTAGGAATATTTAGAGCGAGACAGAGAAATGTTTGACAGGGGAAGAAGTGCAAAACACTAAATATTCCTTCTAAGTCAAATATTTTTTAACATGTTGATATGTCAAACAGCATCAGTCTCACAACTGCTCACCTTGGGTTCTTGATAAGAAGAGACTTAATGAACTCAATCGCTTGTTCAGAGATTCCCTCAAAATCCTCCTGGGGGTACTCGGTGGCCACTTGTGAGATATTCAGGAATGTCTCCTGTTTGTTGTCTCCCAAGAATGGTGACACTCCAGTAAGCATGACATATGTCAGTACTCCAATACTCCTGCATATGAAAAGATAAGGGTTAAACAGCATCAGCTCCAACACAGCCTTGATGCATTATATACTTAAAGGATATTTCCACTTCTGAACTCAGATTTCAGAAAACCCCACTATATGGTTGTTATGTGTTCCCATTTACAGTGCACTCATAAAAATAACTAAAATGATATTTCAAACCTTTTTTGACCTTTGGGCAAAGCAAGCAACTTGAAAATGTAGGGGTCAAAGGGGGGCAGGCTAAGTATATAGTATTTTTACACCTAATTATCTAGAACTAACAGAATTACTTTATTAAAATGTACTTTTGTTTCTGTACCTTTAATTTTTCTATTATATTGGTAGGATACTTACCACATATCAGTTGCTGTGCTGATCGGTTCATAGCTGAGCACTTCCGGAGCTAAAACAGTAACAAAGCATATAATAAATAACACTGAGATCTACATCACACTAGCATCCTCTAGTATGGAATAATGAACAGATATAAAATCATGTATTGTGGAAAATACATTCATCTGCTAGTTGCTGAATGAGCAGTTTGATGCTTATTATTATTATTATACAGGATTTATATAGTGCCAACAGTTTGCGCAGCGCTTTACAAAATGAATATTATTATGTTCTGTAAGAGCTATAGTATATTCTCAGAAGCTTTAAATTATAATTCCTTACTGGCCATGTGAACTGGTAAGAGATCTGAGAAAATATTACACTTACCTACATACTCTGGTGTCCCCAAAATCTCTCGAATCTCCTTAATGGTATCCACGTGCCTGGAGAGGCCAAAGTCTACAATACGGATGTCGCCCAGTGGATTGCTGCAGGTAAGTAAGACATTCTGTGGCTGCAACAGACAGAACCCAAGAAAAGAAACTTAGGAGATGGTAAACAATAACAAATAAGTAAAGGGAGGTAAACTTGGTGGCCCATGCATTGTAACAGATTTCAGATGATACTCTTTATGTGTTCTACATTACCAAAATAGTGCTGCGCAACTAGAACCCAAAATAATAAAGAGTACTCCTAATGAAACTACATCACATGATACAATCTATGATTACTCAAATATTAATCAAAAATAGTAGTAATAGTAGAGAACTAAAATTGCACTCACTGGCCACTTTATTAGGTCCACCTTGTTAGTACCGGGTTGGACCCCCTTTTGCCTTCAAAACTGTCTTAATTCTTCATGGCATAGATTCAACAAGGTGTTGGAAACATTCCTCAGAGATTTTGGTACATATTGACATGATAGTATCATGCAGTTGCTGTAGATTTGTCAGCTGCACATCCATGATGTGAATCTCCCATTCCATCATATCCCAATTGAATTGAGATCCGGTGACTGTGGAGGCCATTGGAGTACAGTGAACAGATTGTCTTGTTCAAGAAACCAGTTTGAGATGATTTGAGCTTTGTGACATGGTGCATTACCCTGATGGAAGTAGCCATCAGAAGATGGGGACACTACAACAATACTCAGGTAGGCCGTGGTGTTTAAACTATGCTCAATTGATACTAAGGGGCCCAAAGTGTGACAAGAAAATATCCCCCACACCATTTCACCACCACCAGCCTGAACCATTGATACAAGGCAGGATGGATCATGCTTTCATGTTGTTTTTTGCCAAATTCTGACACTACCATCTGAATGTCGCAGATAAAATCGAGACTCATCAGACCAGGCAATGTTTTCCAATCTTCTGTTTTTCAGTTTTGGTAAGGCTGTGAGAATTGTAGCCTCTGTCTCCTGTTCTTAACTGACAGGAGTGGTACCCAGTGTGGTCTTCTGTTGCTGTAGCCCATCTGCTTCAATGTTCGACGTGTTATGCATTCAGAGATGGTATTCTGCATACCTTGGTTGCAACGAGTGGTTATTTGAATTACTGTTGCCTTTCTATCATCTCAAACCAATCTGCCCATTCTCCTCCGACATCAACAAGGCATTTTCATCTACACAACTGCCACTCACTGGATAGTTTCTCTTTTTTGGACCATTCTCTGTAAACCCTAGAGATGGTTGTGTGTGAAAATCCCAGTAGATCAGCAGTTTTTTAAATGCTCAGACCAGCCCATCTGGCCCCAACAACCATGCCACATTCAAAGTCTCTTAAAATCCCCTTTCTTCCCCATTCTGATGCTTGGTTTGAACTTCTGCAAATCATCTTCACCATGTCTACATGCCCAAATGCACTGAATTGCTTCCATGGGATTGGCTAAATAGCAATTTGTGTTACCAAGCAATTGAACAGGTGTACCTAACAAAGTGGCCGGTGAGTGTAAATGACACCTACTTATATGGAATACCACTTAATCTCCCCCAAAAAAACCACAATCTCAAATATTTAAAAATAAAATAGTGAACATATAGTCCTCATAAAAAGGTAAACAGAATCTTCTTATGTGTCAGTAGTGCAATGTCCACATTCAATAAGATGAAACATGCATCTGATCTCCTCATGCAGCACACCACTATGTGCCTCCATCAGCCAATGCTACCACTTACCTCCACTTATTGGCCCACTGTAAGTTAGGTCACAAACAGCCTTCCCAATAACATGGGTAGAATTCCTTTTACCTTCATAATCCAAAGGCAATAACTCAATAGGTCATACAGGCATATATTAAGAGAAAAAATAAAGATCTCTCATGCAGTACCCCAGTAAAAAGTAAATGTATTCATAAAAAACATCCATCCAGCATACAGTAAGTAAAATTACATCACATACCCACGCCTCTACAAGGTCGGCTATTTTACTTACTGTGTGCTGGATGGATGTTTTTTTCTTTAAGGAGGCAATTTATATCTTAATGAAATAGGCAATGTGTCTTGTGCACTGGATCAGTACACTATTTTTGTGAGTATGACTGAGCACTTTTATGAATAAATTTGCTTTTTACTGGGGTACTGCACTTTGATATGTTAAGGGAAAGAATAAAGATCTCTCAGACTATTGAGTTACTGGCTTTGCATTGTGAAGATAGAAGGAATTTTACCCATGTTATTGAGAAGGCTTTTTTTAACCTAACTTACAGTGGGTCATGTGTGAAGATAAGTTGGTAGCATTGACTGATGGGGGCACATAGCGGTGTGCTGCATGAGGAGATCAGATGCATGTTTGAAATTATGAATGTGGACATTACACTACTGACACATATTTGGAGCATGGGACGTTTCTGTTTACCTGTTTATGAGGACTATATGAACGCTATTTTATTTTTTAATATTTAATATATTTAATATTTGATATTGTATTTTTTTATTGGATATTAGGTAGTATTCCGTATCACTGGGAGTCATATAATTTTATTTCACTACTATTGCTTCTATTTTTGTACACTTATTTTTTTGGGTTCTAGTTATTTTGGTAATGTGTATGTTTAGATGTGGCAACACATGTCAGGCGCTTGCAGCAACAAGTTAGATTTATTGGTGTAGATATAATCACTGTCATTATTGCTACTAGATTTGAATTATACTATTTTATTTTTGAGTTTGTCTTTTAAACTTTTTTGGAAAACGCAAGGTTACTTGAGTTTATATACACTATGTTCTGCTTTTGCATGTCACAAATTAGTAGGTTAAATAAAAGTTGTAATAGTTAGTGACCCCCCATGAAGGAAGCAGATGGGGTGCAGACGTGCCATGGCCACGATGCTTTGCATTACTGCAATCCAAAAATGATCTCCCCGTCACATCAACTGAATGGGCCCACGCTGTATCCTTCCTGAAAACACATGCAATGTGTGGGATTTTAAAGGTTAAAACAAGCAGTGAGGAGACAACATAACACCATCTCTGCCTGTCAAATCAGCGGTGGATCGCTTTTCAGAGGGCAACGTAAGTGTAAATGAGCCATAATGCTGTTGATTTTGATTAACATTTTACGGTCACATAGGGGCTGACATGTCAAGACACATTCCTCCTCTGTGTTCAGATGTAGATTGGTTACAGAGAAATAAAACACTGAAGCTTTGTGGTAGAACTACCTCTAGATTAATAAGAAATGCTGGCTAATAAATTGTAATGCAAGCTCAGCTATAACTTTGATTTACTTATTTCAGGTACTTATATAGCGCCGTCAGTTTACGCAGCGCTTTACATATATGTTGTACATTCACATAACCCTCCAGTCCCTAACCCCCAAGGGGTGTACAATCTAAGGTCCCTAACTTACATTCATACATACACGGGTCAATTTAGACAGGAGCCAATTAACCTACCAGCATGTCTTTGGAGTGTGGGAGGAAACCCACACAGGTACAGGGAGAACATGCAAACTCCAGGCAGGTGGTGCCGTAGTTGAGATTCAAACCAACGGCCCAAGTACTGCCAGGCGGAAGTGCTAACCATTTAGCCACTGTGCTGCCCATACAAGTTATATTGCTGACAGTCAAAGGGTTAATGGCAGTGACAACAGGGACAATCTACAAAAAGTCCCATGGGGCACCCAACTATATCATCTCTATGCCAAGATGAACACAGTTTAGTGCCCGTTGTTGGGAAACATAGATCTGTCAAATCTAATTTGGTGGTGTATAATTATTAATCACTCTGAGCACAAACTTTACCTTTAAGTCTAAGTGGACAACGTTATTTCTGTGAAGATAAAACACTCCATGGAGGATCTGGCGGATGAGCCGGATGACATCCTTTTCCGTGAAAGCTTCATCTTGATCTGCTACACACTGATTGAAGATTTCACCACCTGCCGCACTGCAAATTCAAAAACATGCAAGTAAAAATCACAGTATGATTTTTTGTTTTATAGGGCAAGATTGTATGTTGTGCTGCTGTTTAAAGAACAACTCCATTCAAAATATTTTTTAAGACCTGGGTAGGGGTAGAGCCTCTGTTAGGGTTTTATTGCCTTCTGCACCCTGGCAGATTTTCTGTCCATCCCCCATTCTGCAACAGGAAAGCCATCTAAGGGCCATTTCTGCAGTGGTTTAGTGTACACCACTCTCCATTCCGGGTGCAGTAAGCTGCTGGTAGGGTTACTATGACAGTTCATTCATGTCATAGTACAGCAGCGCAGTGCATTGCATTGCTGTACAGTGACATGCGGTGCATTCTTGTGCGCTGGGATAAAATGCAGAATGGTGTGGTACAGTGTGAAACAGGACATATAGAAAACAATTGTTTTGCCTGGAGTTATTCCAGTGTGGAAAAACACCTCTCAAGCACTAAAAGTGAAATAGAACAGTTAGACCTAAACAACAATTATATACTGCAACTCATCAGTCTTTGGATGAGGTGGCTGATTCATTTTTAATGCTTTTTGCCTTTATTTTCACCTGCAAATAACACACATCTAGTCCCTTTCTGTCTACACTAATTTCTTCACTGTATCTATGGAGGCAGCCATGGAATTAAACATGCCTGCCACTGTTCATCTCCATTACTTGGGGGATTAATGGGATTAGTAGTTTACAAGTGTCATGGGCAATGCATGTGTACTTGCTGTACATATTGAAAATGTTCTTAACCTGTAAAGTGAAAATAACTGCAGCCATCACATCTAAGGAACAGTAAGCTGCAGCACATATCATTTTTGTTTCTTTGTTTAAATTTGCATTAAGAAGACTTCTGCTATTGCTTTGAGTAGAGAGTGTAGGTGTAGTCTACATGTAAAACTATATTTACCTTTCAATCCCAAAAATAAAAAGAGCAATGAAATGCCTCCTGTCATCCACCTGATTCTTTGCAGGATACCAGCTACCTGTCTGGTTTTTGGAGGTTGCCCTATTGTCACAGGCAGCACCCCAAACAGTCTTAGGGCTTAGTGACACATGCATAGCTCTGTGAAGTGCAATCAGGTGGTGGAACGCTTTTCAGAGTAGTGCAGGCGTGGCTGACAGGCACTCAGGAGGCAATATTGCTGCCTCCTGAATGCCTGTTTTTTGGACAACCAAAAGGGCTGTTTGAATAGAAATACCAGATTTGGAGTTGGCTCACGGTTACCGCGTGACTCTATTCACATGAATATGTTGTGTTTGGTGGTGGTACTGCCTGCTAAATGCGACAGGGGGGATAGTTTTTGCCATGCCACAAAGCAAAGAAAAAGGCATGTGTGTACACCACTATCCACCTGCCATTGTAGCTTAAAGTGTTACTAAACCCCGGACCCTGTGTTCACTATATCTGGTCTCCCACAGTATATACTACATGGAAATTCAATTATTTTAGTAAATATAAACTGCTAAATACCTTTTCTTATTAGCAGTATATAGTGGTCTTGTGACTTCAGTGTTCAGCCAAGCACTAGCTAAAGCTTGTAGGAGGAGTTTTCTTTCTGCTCTAGGAGGATGCAGAACCCCTAAACTCTGTCTGGACAGTGCTGATTGGCCCTGTGCTGATCACGTGCACTCTCCTAAGAAAAAAAAACCTCTCTAGCAATACACACCAAACTGATCATGTGCAAAATGCCTACAGTTCAGTCTGTCTTATCAGGAGATAAGAGGTGGTCGCTTAAAGGGGAGGAACAGAGCAATCAGGATCAACCAGCCTTTTTACGCAATGCGGAGGATTAACCGCTTAGATTTCACAGTGAGTATACCAAGCATGCTTTACTGCATATACAGACTGATTTTACTGTTGTGGGTTTAGTAAAACTTTAAGGGGTACAGGGGGTGGGGGCATTACCTCATTTGCACCCCCCCAATCCAAGTGTAAACTAAAACTTATAAGGAGATCAGCAAAGGAATCCTAAGCTAAATTTTTAGGACTCAACAAGTAAAATGACAAAGCTTGACCTAACATAAGACTGCTATTCATAAGAGAAGGAGTCATGACCGGCAGACCAAACACAATGTTCTATTAATGGTATCCTAAGTATGGTGCTTTGTGTCAGTTCTTATTTCTAATATACACCCGACAATCTCCTTCCTGAAAGAGTGTAGCTTCTGGCTATTAATACAGTTTACTCACATTAAATGACAGTGTGAGCAAGTTCTACCCATTCAGGGTGAGTACAGAATGACTTGTTTCCATGTCACTCCCAACCATCCCAAATGGACAAGTACAATCTTGTTGCTACATTTTGCTATTGGCTATGAAGGTGAGCGCTCCTGTGTTCTATTACAAGCCTAACAAATGTAATAATCCTTCCCATCCATGGTGGATTATACAAAGGGTATTTGAGGTGATAACCCAAGCTGCAATGAAGCAAGACCCAGTGATTTTACATTTTTACCATGACAGGTTTGTAGCATATGTTTCAGTGTACAAGGCCACAGAGTTCTCATACTACTATAATTTGTTTGTTTATGTATGTCTGATATTTCTATGGTCAGTTTTTTATTATTAAACCAAATATATTAAAGTGCACCTGTCATGAGAAGAGTATACAGCTGCCATTGCTGTCTCCTGATAATGCCAATTAGCTGACCGTCTCCGATTCACAGATACAAGCATGCTGTAAACAGGTTTTAGAAAAGTGCCAGAATTTCTAATCTCTATGCTTTTTATGGGTCAGCAGAAAAGTGTTCAAGCTAAATCATCAGAATGACAACTGTACCATTGATACCAGGGGGTTATTTACTAAGACTGGAGAGTGCAAAATCTGGTGCAGTTCTGCAGATAAACCAATCAGCTTCCAGGTTTTATTGTCAAAACCCAATTGAACAAGCTAAAGCTGGAAGCTGACTGGATACCATGCATGGCTGCACCAGATTTTGCACTCTCCAGTTTTAGTAAATCAACCCCAAGGCATTAACAAACGCATCCCCACTTCACTAAAAGCAGCCTACCTGGTCTTGCTTCCATGTTCAATAAAGTGTTCTTTATTATTTGGCCTTGTAGAAAACCACATAGTTTTAGTTCACAAATGTCCTTGCCCTCTTCAGCCTGAGCATGTGTGCCCCCATTCATTCCTATGCATAGAGTGTGCAGGACCATTTAAGACCATCCTGAGTATGGTTCCCTATTGGAAACAATGGGATCATGGAGCACATGCGCAGACTGAGGAGGACATGGCAAGAACAGGTTGTGTAACAAGGCTGTGCCTCCAACAGGGCTGCACAGTGTAGAATGTTGGACCGAGGATGAAGGTGAATATAGGACCACATGGACTACATTCAGGGAGCTGCATTAACTAAAGTCTGACAATTCTGCCCCACCTCTGGTGTGAATGACCATAGCCCCAGCTGCAGCAGAGCTCAATGCGGGGAGTGACATCAGAGGGCTGCCGCTGTCTACCCACAGTCCAAGAAAAGGAGTAGGAAGAGAAAATGGTCATAAGACTGTTTCCAAAAAAATCTACAAAAAGATATAATGAACATTTGAACATGTTAACATGTACAGCATTTACTTTAATCCAACTGAATCTTCAGTTTAAAGTATAAGTTCACCTTTGGGAACATGTTACATGTTCCACACGTTTTTAGGATGGAGCATGTAACATGTTCCCGATCCTGCAGCCGCCACCCACTGCCCAGTTCCCCGTACTAGCTGTCACTGTTCGAAAAACAGAATGGCTGTGCGGGGTTCCGCCCACACGGCCGCATCATTCATTCACAGTCCTCTGTGAATGAATTGACTACAGGTCCCGACAGCCTTAGCTGCTGTCGGCTTGTAGTCCTCAATGAACTATCATGGCGCAGTGAGTGCTGTGGTGGTTTCATTGATTCTTCCTATCAGAAGTATCGGCTTGCTCAAAAGGGATGTACGTACAAGCAAGCAGACACACTGACAGTCTGCAGCACACCTGCATGATATCAGCGATCTGCTGATCACTGGTTCAATGCTTCAGAGGCTCCTAACACAAAAAATAATAAATGCACATTTTTTTTACCTTCCAAAAAGTGTGCATTTAATGTTTTTTGTGCAAAGGTGAACATATCTTTTAAATCAGCTAAATGCATTCCAGGTGCACCAAAAATCTGTTTAGCCTTACAATTCTTTTTTTTTTAAGTTGCCACAGCCTGAGAAGAAAAGCATGTTGGCTGTCAGCATGCTATCATTTCTCTCTGCGTAGAAGCAGTGGTCTCTCTACAGAGGTCTAACACACCCCCACTGAGTCAGACCTACAAATCTGCAATCAGCAATTCTTATGCTCCCTGCTGATTGGAGAGCTTTGGCTCTGACTTATGTGGGTCAGACCCCTGCAAAGAAATCACTGCTTCCCTACAGAGAGCAAGGGTCTCACTTTGCAGCATGCTGGCAAAAGATAAACCTTTCTACTCGGGACGTGGCTCTCTTATAAAGAAACCACACTGTATAACTTTGCACATCTTTTGTTTTATTACTATTGGCATTTGTGAAGCTTATCTAAACTAAAAGTACAGCTGGGCTTTAAGAGGAGTCTGCACTGCAGTAACATATAGGCCCCCTTCACATGGGCTGGATCTGGTTTTTCTTAGCAGAGGAACTGTCCACTGATCCCCTGCCGATTAGAGCGGAGCAGCCAGATGACACGTCTGTGTCCCCACCGCATATGTAGAGTGGACACGGATACAGTTCACTCTTCTCTATGGAAAGTTAGATATAAATGGACTGACTGCCCTCAATCTGTTTTTGCCAGATCGGACTGGAGGTAGAACACAAGTCAGTTTACATCCACTGCTCCATGGAGAAGAATGGAGAGTCCGCCTGAAAAATGGACAGGCGGTCCCGATTGGACCACTCATGTGAAAGGGACCATATTGTTTAGGTAGGTTTGGCATTTGATTTAAACTATTACTGTCCAAAGGTTGTTTGACAAAAATGGTAACGGG